GCAGCCACACAACTTCCTCTCCTCCCATTCTCCTCACATGGAGAAGGGGGAAGAGGGGGAGGAAGTGATTAGTGGTTTCCAAGGGCAACACCTGAAAACATATCCAGGGATACAAAGGGAGCTTTCCGCATGGACACAGGAAGCCCCAGCCTGTTCCTTGTTGAGGAAAAGGAAAGGCAAACGCTGGGCAGAAACTTGCAGCACCTGGTTCCGTTATGAGCCAAGCCCAGGGCAATGTTTTGGAGCCTCTGGATTGCAGAGGAAGGTGGACCAACTGCCACAGGAAGTCCTGGCCCACCAGGAAGGACTCACGGGTGCAGAGAACCTGGGATTTATCTGGTCCAGCCCTAGCAAGATGGCAGCATTCTAAGCCTCCCACCCCAGGAGGTGACCTGCCCCTGCAGGAAGCTAGATCCGATTTCTCATAGCCAATTCTCTCAGGAGCATTGAATCTCAGGACAAAGGGAGGGGGTGGCTGGTCCTGGGGTCCATCCCACCCAATCCTGCCAAACTCAAGGTTTCCAGGAAATGGAGATGAGTGGTCCTCACATGTGGCCACCTCACTTTATAGAATAAGAGCTGCCAAGAAGGGCATGTCCCTTTGCTGGTTTCCTGTAGAGCCCTGGACCATGGGCTGCATCAGGACCAGCGTTTGGATGACGTGGCTAGTGGGAAGGTAGTGGCTGTGGCCCCATCAGGCTCCATATCTGTGAAATCGGGACTCTGCCACCCACCTCCTGGGGCTGGAGAACGGAATGCACCAAATGGTAGCTCCTCCTTGGTCCTGCCCTCTGGCAAGCCCAGTTGATTCCCATACCGTGGCTGCCTTGCGCCCCCTGTAGCCACAACCTGGCCCTCCCTAGCATCAGGTCTCCAGGCCTCAAGGAACTGAAACCCCTTTCACGACCACAGTCCAGAGTCCCTGTACTCGGCCACATGTGGACTCGGGAGAGGAACTGGGCTGGCAATGTGACGACTCAGGGCTGTGTGGGGTACCCAGGGCTCTGGGCCACTTATGAACACAGAAGTGAAAAACTCCAAGTGGGGCAGGGCTCCCTCCTGGTTCATCCGCCTTGGAGCAGGCTCTCTTCCGGGTGGTCACACTGTCCCCCTGCCCGCCACGCCCCCAGGATCCTGCTCTGCAGCCATCTCTCTCTCAGTGTGTCCACAGAGACAATCTGATGTAGGTTCCTGGGACCTAGAAAAGACCACTTCCTTCTCCTCTCAGTGTCCCAGGCCGAGGCACCAAGCTCCCACCCAAGTGCAGTGTGACCTTTAGCCCATAGGACAAGCCGGCTGAGCATGACCTGTGCTGCCCACAGTGTTCCAGCAGGTGTGCTGACATGGGGGCCGAGACACAGACCCCCTCAGCATTCTGGTTGGCAGAGGGGCATCTAGGGGCCTGAACCCCTGTGCTGGGCCCCTCTGTAACCTCAGTGAGGGGGAAAATGTCATTTTCTGGGTCTGCCCTCCATGTGAAAGAGGGCTGGGAGGTGCTCACCAGGAGTAGCCAGTCCTAACCTGGCCAGGAAAACCCAGAGAAGGTTTGAAAATGCTGACTCCCAGGCCCCACTCCAGCCTATGGCCTGTCCACGTTTTAGGAGGGTCCCTGGGTAGCTGTGATCAGCATGCCCTGGAGAGTCTAACCTAGAAACTCCGTGGAAGCCCTGTGATCCCCGAAAGGAGCCTCTATTCTCAAGGTGAAGCATGGTGGCAGAGCTGGGGGCAGGAATTTCCTGACAGAGTCCCCGGCAGTGCAGCCTGAGGGCCCTGCACCCCAGAACTCACCGGGCATGGAGAAGGGGGACAGGAAGGCAGCCTCGACCGGCTCTGGCTCTGCAGGTGGCAGGGGTGGCGGAGGCTGCTGCTCCTGCTCCCGCTGAGGGTCTTCGGGGTTGTCTACGGGCACATTCCCGTTTTCAATGTTTTCGTGTCTCCCGTTTTGAAGTGGCTTGCTGCCCACACCGTTTGCTGAGTTGATCAGTCTCTGCCGCTGTGTGAACGGGAGGGAAGACAGACACTGAGACGTGTGACAGAGGGCTGCACTGCTGCTTTGTTCCTGACATGCACACAGCCCTTAAAGGTTTCTGGAACATGCCCCTGGAGACTGGCTTGCCTGTGACCGGCCCAAGGGCCTTGGAATCCACCTACGTTTGCTCATTTCCACTGGGGAACGGTCAGAGGCCTGGTTACGCCTCTAACTGCCAACCTGACAACCCAGCCCAGGGCACTGGATGGCAGCAGTCGGGTCATTCTGGCTCCCCCAACAGACATTTATAAGCCACCTGAAGATAGTCACAGGAGACGCCTTCTATAGCTTTTAAAAAATCAAAAAACATATTAGGTTTACCATGCAAAATGTACACTTACGTTAAGTGTGCAGCTCAGTGGTATTTTACATCAAGATGTAGAATATGTCCAGTCCCTTAGAGGACTCCCTCAGGCACGTCTCTAGTGGATGTGCCCCTCTCTCCAGAGGTAACCAAGGTTACCACTATTCTGACTTTTATAAACATCAATTAGTTCTTCTTGAACTTGAACTTCATATAAATGGATTCCAATTGTATGTACTTTTTTAATGTTTTGCTTGTTTTACTCAACCTAATATCCGTGAGATTCATCTGTGTGGTTGCATGACTCAGTAGGTTGCTATTTTTCATGGCTGTATAGTATTCCATTTGTGTGACTAACCTGCAATGTATCCTGTCTGTTGGTGGGCTTTGGGGTTGTCTCCCCTGTTTGGTTATTATGAAGAATGTTGCTATGAACACTTATGCACATGTCTTTTTGTGGACACAGACACACATTTCTCTTGGGTATTTATCTCAAAGTGGAATTGTTAGGTCATAAGGTAGGTGCACATTGCACCATTTTACACTTGTACCAGCAAGGGATTAGAATTTCAGTTGCTTCCTATCCTTGCCAACACTTGATATTGTCAGTCCTTTTAGTTTTAGCCATTCTGGTGGGTATGTGGTGGTATCTAATAGTGGTTTTAATTTGCACTTGCCTGATGACTAACAATCTTGAGGATCTTACTGGCTTACTGGCCATGCAAATAGCCTCTGCTGTCCAAGCCTTTGCCATGTCCAGTGAGTGTGCTCTGAAACACCCTGTCCCCTTCTATCCCCTCAGCTGATTCTAGCTACTGAAGAAGGCTGCCCCTTTGCACTCAAGCAGAAGCTGGTCTTCCTTACCAGGTCTGTGGGTTTCAAACTAAACCAGGGAAAGGTAGAGACCACATTTCAAGAAATCAACAGGGTTCCATTTTTCTGAAAAATCTGCTTACCTTTGCACAGCTCACCAATCAGCTGTAGGCCTGTGGGTAATGATCATCACACAATGGACACATAGACCCCTCCTAAGTACTTCAGCAGGAGACCAGATGTCAGTAAATGTGTCTCAGGCAATACTCTATAACTGTGTGCCTAATGCCTATCCTTGTGCTTATTGGAAGTAAAAAACAAAGTCATTTTACTTAAAGTGGAAGTGTGTTATTCCTCTAGAAGAAAGGGGAATTGACCATTTAACTGCTTTCATGTCAGTTTTAGGTGGGGACTCCAAAACCATGAAGTCTAGGGTGGGGTGGAAATTAAAAAAAAATTTTTTCCTGCAAGTATGTCCACAACACTTAACCCACCAAAAAGAGAGAAGTGATCTATGCCTGAGACTCAGACATAGAGGCATAGTATTTTGCTGCCCAAGTAGGGTTACATAACAGGTCATCCTTGCAGTAAAACAGACAAAAAACTAGCTGTGCAAAGACAGAATTGCAAGGTAGGAGGCATGACTTAAGAGCAACGTGAATGGTAGCAAAGGGAGGATGTCGTAACTCTAGCTTAGTAGGAATAAACTGAAAATTGTACCTGGAAAAAAACATCTAAAGCTATCTGAGGTTGTATTATGAGAGGTGTAGACTACAACACAAAGGAGGCGATGGATTCACATGCTGAGAAAGACAAATTGGGAGGTTTCCATAGGAGAGTAACTAGACAGTGAAGACTGGAACCCTGTCACATCAGGAGGGTGAGGGTTTGGTTCCAAGGATGTGCAGATTCCAACAGAAAATTAGGGGTGGCAACTGCTGCTTGATGTTCAAAGGACTGCCACATGGAAGACACAATCACAGGCAAGCAACTCAAGCAGGGGCTGGATATTACTGAGGTAATAAAGATATAGAAGGAAGAGTGCAGGGGAAGTGAACTAGATTGACCACTAAGAATCTATGCAGTTCCCCTTTTGCTCTCTAGGCTCAGATTTGGGTTGGAATTCCTGTTCTGCCCTCTTATTAGTTGTGTGGCTTTGGGAAAACGGCTTCAACTTTCTGATAGATCAATTGGAAATATCATCATCTTCTCTAGAAGGTCATTAAGAAGATTAACGCTATAACACAGGTAAAAACATCCAGCACCTGCCTGGCTCGCAACAGGTGCTTAGGAAATTACAGCTAGTACCAGCTCAAAACGACCATCATCAGGCGTGCGGTGGGGAGGAGCGAGTTGTGGGGATGAAGGGGTTGTGTGACCAGGTGGGATGGGCTCACAAGCAGAGATGGGAAACCAAGGGAGGTGAAAGTCTGGGCCTCTTGACAATTCATCACAGTGGCTGTGGGTGAGGACAGTTAGGTCAGGTTAGGTGTAACCTTGAAGTGAAGGAAAAACAGAGCTCCCCTTCCACACCCTCACATCCCCTCCCCCAAGCACTCACCCCCTGCAATGAACAAATAAGTTTCCCCATCCCACAGGCACTTCTACCATGAGTTAATTTTAGCTTTGCAAACGTCTCTGTAACATTCGGGAATTAGAAGGACTGAAGAGGAAATGAGACCAAAAGGTCTTAAGAAACAACCTTGAAACTGGGCATTTTGGGGGTTTTATTCTCCCCCCATTCCTATTCTACAGTGAATTTCCCCGAAGACACTGACTGCCTAGTCCCCAGGCATAGCCTTTCAGTCGTGTCACTGAAAATTTGTAGAGCTGGAAGCATCCTGCCCGATACCTTCAGATAGAGAAACTGAGGCCCAGGAAGGCTAAGTGAGTTAATGGCTATTGTGAAATGAAAACTCAGAATTTCCTCTCCTGAGCCCGGCCTCTCGGCTTCCCTTGCTGCCATCCAGGGCTGGCCAATCCCAACAAGATGGAGAACACGGTCTTCCCAGCAGCTTAAAACAACCAGGGACATGACAACCAGCATTTTACTGGCTCATCAAAACCCCATTATTTCCCTGGCTGCGTGTGCCATGAAAGAGTTGTTCAAACGCCTCCCCCACCCCTAGCACCTAGAGGGTACAATGATCATGCTCCTGAAAAATGGCCAGGATTCAGTAAAATTTCATTGATTTAAATTTTACGGATCTGGACCAAAAGGGTTCAGAATGATTCAAAGCTTGCAATTTCCCCCTTTCTTAATATTACTTTCCATAGAGAAGGTATATTACATATGAAATCCAAGAAGAAGTGTTAGAACTATAGGAAAGCTTCAAACACTGTGCAATCTCCTTCTTGCATATATAGTCAGTGTGCTAACTACTGATACTATCTCCGAAGTTTCAAGTTCTCTGGTAAGTATCTGGGTCTGAGGATAAGGACTTAAAACTCCAATATGCACATATGCAGCCAAGACTGGAAAAACTGGTAAGCAATAAGTCTGTGAGCTTTGCTATGCTGCTGGTACATTAAATAATACTCAAACTTATTTTTAAAAAATATTTTTCAAATGAGGAAGAGATGAGGTACAAAATTCAAGCCGACCACCAGGGTACAGGGTGAAAAGGAAGCTGCAGAGGTAACTGTCATCCACCAGTGTCTCAGTTTCCCTCTAGTTGTTTTATCCGTAGAGAACAGGTGTGTATTCATCTTTTTTTTCACCCTAAATAACATTTTAAAGAAACAATCCATACTTCAGACTGGCCTTTCTCTATTTAGTTTGACTCTAGTGCCTGATAAAATACTCAGCAAAACATCTCGGCATGGTATTTGATTGCTGCCTGCCTTAAAATCACTCCCGATCGGATCATTAGCTGCCTGCGCTGATGTCTGGGCCTCCTCCCTTAAACAGGTGTGGTGCTAAGTGCCAGTCTGGCAGGGGACACCCTGGTGGCCCTGCACCAGGCAATGTCGTGCCTGACAAGCCAGGGCCTCCTCAAAGTGTCAGAACCCATCTAAGGCCATTGGATCTCAGGGTCCTTGAAGCAAACTCACCTCGTTAATGATGATCCTACTGGCCATCCGCAGTCGGGTCCTGGGCCCAAACTTATTGGTGATCATTATGCGTAAGCCCGCTTCCGGGAAGCTGAACTTGGGAGGGCTGGAGCTCATGACCTCGTCCACCATCACCACTGGGCTTTTGCCGTACTGCGGCTCCTCCTTCACTATATTGAGCACAATGCCATGATTAGTGCTGAGATCCCCGTGGGGACAACACCCACGTGCTGGGGCGGTGGACTGACTCTGTTGCAGACTTCTTGGGCTGAGGTCTTGGCAGCTGGCAGCCACCTGGGAGCCTAACTTCAGCTTCTGCCTTTAGTCAAGTGGCCGAAGCTTTTGACTAGTGTTTCGAGTGGCTCTGAAACATCTGCTGACTTGGAGGATTAGACACAGCCCCGAGGTCCCCCCATTATAGGCAGCCCTTCCACATCTAGCCCCCTGCCAATTGATACCCACTCTCTTCTGGGCCCAGTCTTGGCTAATTGCAAGGGTCTTTCAATTCCTCATCTAAGCCTCACCGGGCAGTCTACCTGCAATACAGGCAGGCTCCGTGCCATTTCTCACCATGACTGAGAAGGGACCGCTCTTGTCCTGATGACAGAGGCTCAGACAAAACTTATACACTGACAAGGGCCTCCTGGGATGGAAAATGCTGGAAAGCACCAGAGAGCACTGGCTGTGAATGTCCCACAAGGCCGCCTGCTCTGTCTTTGAGGGGCCATCTGCACCTGGTACAGAAGGTGCCTTCTAACTTTGTTCTCCTCGAGGCAGGCAGTGAGAACAAAGATTTGGCTCACAGGCCCTGGATGAGGCAACTGAGAGGCAGAAGGGGAGCCGCCGGCTGAGCCCACTGTCTCTGGTAAAACTGTCATCCTCCAGCAGGGAGGCCGCTGTCTCTGGCCCTATGCTCCCCCTCATGAGGCTGAAGAATAAATCTCCCCAGGCCCCCAGCCTCTTCCTTGCCACCTTCACAAACACGCTCAGGGTTGGAGTCCTGGGGGATTTGACACCTTAACTCCAGAGCCCTGGAGGGAGGGCCTAGTGACAGAAGCACTCGTGAACACAGCACACAGAAGCAGACGGTTTCCCCTCCGAAGGGCTGTCAGAGCACAGATGCTTGTCCCTCTGCACTGGTCACCAGGTCCCAGTGAATGTCCTCAATAGGGTAACCAGAAGCAGTCAGAGTGAACCCGCGCGAGAGTTAATGGCACACACAGGAACAAATGCACACCAGACACGTACCCTCACCCAGCAGGCAGCAAGGCTCAGCAGACAGGAGGCGTGTGGGTTAGAAATGGAGCCAAGAAGACCATGCATTTGTCAGAGATAGACACTAACCTTCGATGAGGCATGTGCTGGGCTTGAGGATTTTTTTTTTTTTTAATGCATGTGTTATCGCTTGGATGAAAGCAGGTTACTTACAATTTAGAAGAGAAGAGTTAAGGAGACAAAGGCCAACAGAGTTTGCCAGAGATGATTAGCGTGCAGTGGATGCCGAGAGTCTGGGGCAGCGTTCTTGATGGTGGCCAAGGTGCCGGGGGGTGATTTGAAGGCGGGTGTTAGTAGGGGGGCTCCTGCCACGTGGCTTCAACGCTCGCAGCCTCTGGCCTCCGGGATAGCCCCTCTCCTGGCTGAATTCCATGGCTTGGTCCCACTCTGAGGAGCAGGAGCCCCTGTGTCCACTGCCCTTCCCTGCTGCAGGAAAGCTCCACTCCTCCCCACTCGGGACCCTCCATCTCAGGGGGGCGTGGAAACCAGCAGAACAGCGGTGGGCTCCAGGCTCTGTCCAGACCACAGAACCAGCCCTGTCCCAGGCACCATCTGCGGGGAGCAGCTGGGCTCAGAAGGAGGGAGCCTACCTACAGAGTGTCAGGTTTCAAGGCAACAGCCGTGATACGGGGCGCCCTGGGCACCTTGTCCTGGGGCCTGCTTCCCACCAAGTGGCAGCACAGGGTGGTACGTACAAGCCAAGGGGGCTGCCCAGGAGGTAACTCACTTACAGCGTGTTTTCCTGGCAGGTCAGCCCAAGGCCAGTACAGCCCCCTCTCTCCCTGCTCCAAGCCAAAGCTGTGGCCAGGGCAGCCCGGGTTCCATAGCGAGCCCAGCCAGTGGTCAAGGCAGCCTTGGCTCTCAGGCTGTGTGCAAGGCCACCTGAACGCCACCGAGGCTGGACTCCCAGCAGTGGCGGGAAACAGGGAGCCTTCCTGCCTCGGTCCTGGTGGCCTTTCCTTGGTGTATCGTGCTCTGCATTCTTGAGCAGAATTGAAGTGGGATATGAAAAATCTGTATAAGGTTTAGAAAAATCCCAAACAACTGAACACAGAACAAAGTTCTGAGGGCGCTATCTCACCCCCTTCCCCATAAAGGAGAAAACTGGCCTGAGTTGATTTGGTGAGCTGATCTGCATGACCTTTAAGCACATTTAGGTACATACAGGCATTTTGGAAGAGTGGTTAAAGGCTAACACCTGTCAACAGGTTGGGTTAAAAATTGGATTTTACATAGGAAACAACAAAGCTGATAACAACAAAGTGGGGGTGGTGTGTGTGTGGTGTGTGTGGTGTGTGTGGTGTGTGTGTGTGTGTGTGTGTGGTGGGTGTGTGGGTGTGTGTGGTGTGTGTGTGGGTGTGTGTGGTGTGTGTGTGGGGTGTGTGTGATCTGTGGT